CCCTCCCTCCCTCCCTCCCTCCCTCCCTCTTTCCTTCTTGCGCCCCTAGTCAGGGTTTGTCTGTGCAGCCACGGCTGTTCTGGATAGACTGGCCTTGAACTCACAGAGATCCACCTGCCTCTGCCTCAGGTGCTGGGATTAAAGGTGCACACCACTACCTCCCGGCCAGGCTGACATTTTCATACTGATGTCTGAAGGAGGAAGTCTCAGGTCATTGAAAGAATTGGGACCTTCCCCCCTCAGTGACAGGCTGAAACCTCCCAAGCTAACTCAGCCTTAGACCCAGGGTTTGAGGAAATGCACAAACACTCAGGCTTCCCGGTGCTCTTTAGAAGTGGGGATTGAGCCCCAAAGGCAGAGCTGGCTGGGCTTCTTCAATCAGAATGTCCTATGGTGCCCCCCACTCCCCCACTCAGGTAGACAGCAGCTCCCAGAGGTTCACAGTGCCCCTGGGTCCCTCTCCTGACCGTCCGGACTGTGAACTTGTCGCAGCTCTTCTCCCTCAGGCTCCCAGGAGCAGTCACCTCTATGTGACTCCAGCCTGCTGCCGCTCCATCACCTTGGGTGACAGATAAGCAGGGGAGACAAGACCTTCCCCACTGGGCCCCAAGCACATCATGCTTTGTGTCCACTGCCCATCCCCCATGCTGGCCACAGACACCAGTCCGTCACAAGTCCTCCCTGTGAATTATATATGCAGCAGTGCTGGGGATCGAACCTAGGACCGAATGCTGACCGTGCAAATGCTCTACCACCGAGCCATACGCAGCCCAGCCCTGAATGAAGTACATGCATTTTTTTATGAGATAGGATCTCATGTAGTCCTGGCTACCCTAGAACTCTCTATGTAGCTGAGGATGGCCTTAAACTTGTAATCCTCCTGGCTTTATCACCTGGTGCTAGGATTACCCAGTTTATGGGTGGTGGGATGGAACCTAGGCTTTGTGCATGCTGGACAAGCTGATTTGGCTAAGCAGACCCTCAACCATCCAAAACACATTCTTAAACAGAGTTTTCTTTGGGCCCAACTGGAAGACTTCCAAGTGGACTGGCTTGGTGGTGTGGCAGGGGCGGGAATCATGCCCATCTATGTGGGGGTGATTGTTGGATTTCAGGTTCTGCTGAGTCTGGGGTCTTGGTGTTCAAGTCTCTTGCTGTTTCCTACCCAGAATCCCAGTATCTTTGGCTAGAAGTGGACCTGAGGAGGCTATGTCTGAGCAAGGAGACAGTGGGACCTGGTCAGGGACAGTGGCCAGATGGGAGTCATGGTATTTTCCAAGGGGAGGCTGGCTAGAAGCTAAGCAGGGGACCCGAGTGGACAGACAGACTGCCTAGGCACACCCAGACCCTAGCACACGAGGCCTGAGCTGAGCAGGTTCGTTGGTGGAAACTCCCCAGGGCCACTGAAAGCCTTGGCATGAGTGGCAGAGGGGACGGTGCTACCTACCCTCAGTATCCCTCTGCCAGGAGCTTCCTTCATGAGCCTACATCATTTGGTCCCCCATGCGGCCCCCATCTGTGGTTTACCTCCTCGGAAACAGAGAGACCAGGTGCGTGGCTCACTCGAGGCCATACACATAGAAAGCGGGAAGCCCAGATTCAGAAAGGGGCCTGAGATTCCTTTTTCCTCCACCCTGAGCAGACAGAGCTGTACTTCAGAAATGCCTGTCCTTGTCTGGCCAAGCTCCTCTGTCAGAGCCTGGAACTGACCATGTCCTGGGTATTACCCCACGATGGGGTACCCCATCTGGTATGGGGACAGAACATCACTCTCTAGATACATGTTTCAACACCTGCCCCCTTTGTTGGGAGAGGGAATGTTCCCCACCCTGGTTCCTGCTCATGGTCACCCCAAACCAACCACAGAGAGGCCAGCTCATCCTGGGCAGCAGCACCTACATCTTCGTCATTTGAGTGCCCTTCCCAGGCCCAAGGATGAACACCCTATGGCCTATTCGGGATCCCTGGATATCTCAAAGTGTGTCACATTCCACATTCCCCAAATTCACACACAGTGTCCCTCAACTCAGAAAGCATAGAAATACCTTTGTCACAAGCCTGCACTCACAATGAGACTTGTCACGAGGCCAACAGATGACCTCACCGCCACTCCAGTCTATCACACCATCCTTCCTCCCTGGGACCACTGTTCATGCAGAACTGTCTTGAGTTCCTAGCTCCAAGGCAGCCAGAGTGCCGATCCAGCCACCTCCACATCCCCGAGGGAACTCCTAGCAGTCTGGCTTGTGCCAGTCACAAATGTGTCCTGGGATTTGTGGAAGGCAGTTCTGAGAGAACCCAACTGGAGATGGTCTCCTGGAGGAAGCTCCTAACAGAAGAGACGGCTCCAAGGGGATGTGAGTGAAAGAAACAGCCCCAACAGCTGGCCCCACTGAACCCGGAGAGACTCTGAGACGGAAAATCAATATGGTGGTTCTCAGCCCAGGAGACAGCAGGAGGGTGCGCATGGGGGAAGTGTCTAGAAACCAAGAACTTGCAGGAGAACGATCAGAATGGGAGGGGCAGGAGCCTGGCCCCTGAGCCCTCAGCAGCTCCTTCACTAAGGAAAGTGTGCATCTTCTCTGGAAATTCTCCTTCTTTGTAGACTTCCTGCCACTCCAGAGCTCCCTGTCCTCAGCAAGGTTCTGGTGGCTGCATTCTGAAGGAAGTGGGGGTGTCACACTTTCTCTTAAGGGTGTGACTCAGTTGCTCAAATGTTCTTTGCTCATATCCCCTTAGCCTTGCCTCTCCTGCCTCACGCCAGAGCTGTGGTGGACTTTCTTCCCCCGTAGGAAAAGGGGCAAGGGGCCATTTGGGTCAGCAGGCTTGGCTTTCAGTGGATACGTAACAGCTCAGACTTGTCAGCTGTGGACTCCCCACAGCCTTGGTGCTCCCCAAATCCCATTTGCTCTTCACACAGGTACCTGAGATGGGAACCTTCAGTGACCTGTCTCTCCATAGCATTCGTTCCCCAGTGCTCACCATCTTTATTTCTGTCTCTTCCCTGGGGTAGGAAAACAGAATGCCTGGCAGAGGAGCCGAGCTCTGGCCTATCCCAGGCAAGGTACAGGGATAAGAGCTGAGTTCTTGGTGTCAACTTGAAGCCGTGGGATCAGGTCTCAGCTCATGATGCCCTTTCTTGGGACTCTGAGACCCGTAAGACCAGCCCGTGAACCTTCCAGCACTTCTTCAACCCACTGTCATCTCCCAACCAGCACTGTGGGCAAGGATCACGTTTGCTCATGGTTCACCAGCTCCCACCTCCCCCAGACCGGATCCCCATGGGAGTGGGGCCTTGTCTCTTGTGTTCCACCGGTTCCTTGGCGCTTGGAATTCTCCCAGCAAAGTCTGGCCAGGGGAGAAACCCAAGGGTGGTTCTCATCCTCATGCCCTCCTTCCTCCCTGCATGCTCCACCCAACTCTTTCTGTCTCTTATCTTTATGGAGGTCAGGGCCTCTGGTCAGCAGGAAGGAGGGGGCTAAGGGTGAAGTGGAGCTGTGCTCCTTGTTGAAGGGACCAAGCTGGGACCTTAGTTTCCTATGAAAAGCGAGACTGAGATGAAACCCTCAGATTACAAGAGAAGAAAGATGTCTAGACACTTCTCTGATCGTCTAGGGTCAGGTCAATGAGAGTCTGCTCCCCTGGGATCAAGGAATGCCCCAATTGGTCAGAGTTTCCTTATACGTAGAGTATATGCTTATGGAACATCCTGTTGCCCCAACTTTTGTTCTTAGAAGTTTGGAAAACTCACCTTAGAACCATATCCCAAATTCCCACCCCAGCCTGAACCCAACTCATTCCTTGTCCCTGTGATCCTCTCCCCACTTCCTTGGATCTCAGAAGCATGAATAGGAGCCCGTGCTGTAGCCAGAACTGTCTAAAATCTGTCATTGTCACCACCTTCAGACCCTCTGGGCAGACATTGCTTCCCCCCAGCTTTGCCTGATTGTGGAGTGTCTCCCCGCTGGGAACAGGGCCCTACCTGTTTGTTTATGAATGGACTTCTCCCCAGCTGGCACTCCTCCCTGCTCAGCAGTACCCCATCACGAGTCTGGGGTTCCCTCCGGCAGCAGGCCATGGGCACCTCCTCACTCTCCAGTGTCAGCAGCCGAAACACAGAGGCTGTCTTGAAATCTTCGGGCCCATTGACCCCACAGCAGCCAAACTAGAAGAGAACCGAAAAAGGGAGCTAGAGCTGGACCAGAGGGGACCTCTGCCAGAGCACAGCACCTCTGCCCTCTGTGTGACAGTGATGATGCCCAGTGTCTCTGTGCACAGGGCACTCTTTGTAAGAAGAACATGGCAGTGTATCCCTTACCTCCCCAGCACCTGGTAAGCACTTCATGTACAGTTGCTATGATTTCACATCATGATATGCTAATTATTATTGTTACATTTGGCATGTGTATATTTGCTCATGTGCAGAAGTATGTGTGTGTGTGAAACATGTATATATATATACACACACATATATATATATATATTTTTTATATATATATATATATATATGGAGGCCAGAGGACAATCTCAGATGTCATTATTTAGGTGCTGTCCTTTTTTATTTTGTGTGTGACAGGGTTTCTCTGTGTAGCTCTGGCTGTCCTAGAACTCACTCTGTAGACCAGACTGGCTTTGAACTCAGAGACCCGCCTGCCTCTGCCTCCTGAGTGTAGGGATGAAAGGCTTGTGCCCACCACCACTCAACTGCATCTTATGTTTTTTTTGAGAGGGGAGCTTTCCCAGGACCTGGGGCTCACATTAGGCTAGACTGATTGGCCAGTAGCCCCTGTCTCTCCTGTCTCTCCCCCTCCTCCCAGTGTTGGCACTATGAGCATACATCCTAACAGCCGGCTTTTTACATGGGTGACAGCACAGCAAGCGCTTACAGACTCAACCATCTCCCAACCCCTGTATTGATTATTATTAACATCAGTGACCAATGGCAATGGCTATGGCTTGAGTCAGGGGCAGTGGAGAGATTCTGTGAAGAGCCTGTACTGTGAGTGGCTAGCTGTGACAGCTTAGTGTGCTTCACACACTAAGATCAGGAGTGGGATCGGTGATTCTTGATTGATTGTTGATGTCTGGTCAGGCAGGGGAATGGGAGAGCTCTAGAGGACGACCTCTCTGTCAACATGATGGCTTTGAATGCTCATGCATCCCAGGATGGCATAGGAAGAGACACTCACTGTGATCATGACCGAATTCCAGGTGGCAGAGAACACGTCCGTGTCATTGTTGCCCTGGTAGTGCTTGGTGAGCTCCCTGGTGAAGAACTCACGGGTGAGCTGGGGACAGAGGAGAAGGAGCTGAGTCTTCTCAGCCTGGCCTCCCAGGTCATTCTAAGTTGTTCATTTTAGGCAGGCACCCCTTTCCAAGGTTTGGGGCCTTGCTGTGTCATCACAGGCCACTGTTGTGACAAGGATGTCTGCATACGCAGGCCTCAGCTAACCCCAAGATGGAACACACTGGGACCCTTGCTCAGCTTTGCGGCTCTTCTCAGAGGATGAGCATGGGAGGTGGGGGTGGGGAGACGATTGTCATCCCATCCTTCAGAATGAACAGGTGCCAGGCCCAATCTTCAAGAAGCCAAGTATGGGTAAAGAGGGAGCCTTTGATTACCCATAGCTCCCAGCTATGTTTTCAACGTCTCTGTTTTCAGCAGCTTCCTCAGGCTGGCTCCTTGTTCCAGGCCAGCCCATACATCTTATCCTTCCTGCCCCCCTGTTTGGAGGTCAGGGCCTTCTACCTGTAGTGCCAGGCCTTGTCCACTAGGCCCAGGATAAGGAGCTTACAGAAGTTTCTGGAATGAATGGACCATGCAGTAGGCTAATCAGAGAGGCTGGTAGCCTAGCCTGGCACACCACATGCCCAGACCGAGGTTGTTTTCTCCAACCACCTGGCCATGTGCCACCCACGAACAGGCTGTCACTGGGTAGGATATAAAATCTAGAACCAGGCTGGAGAGGGGACCCACAGGCACCCCTGGGTGAGGACTTCTGGAAATACTCCTACAGGAGGAGACTTCACTGGGCTGGGGTGCTCTGGCCCTCTCCAGGGTGCAGGCCACATTTAGCCTTGTGGCAGTGGACATGAAACAGCTAGCTCTGAGAGGCTCTTGGAGGCCCCCAGAGCTCAGTGGGCAGTGAGGGTAGCAGGGTGGAAAGCCGAGCGGTACATACGTGTTCCCTGAAGATGAAGGCCAGGATGGCTGCGGAGAGCTCTACCAGGAAGATGACCAGGATAAAGATGAAAAACTGCAGGGAGAGGGCAGTCATGAGGCCCACGTGGGCACCATCCTCCACACCCCCTGTGATAGATGGAGCGCACTCATCTTGTAAGACAGACCATCGTGCCATAAATCACTGTTTTCATAACAAACACACCAAGGATCTACCCTCGGAGCCGTAGAGTTGCAATAAAACGTATGAGCAATGCAGACAAATAAATCTGTCTTCCCAGTACATGGTCACCTAGAGAGGCTGCTTTGTGTCGTGTGTAACCGAGGCCCTGGGAGGAGGAGGCTGCTGCTGCTGCTGCTGGAATCTGCTTGGGCTTCCTTTAGAGACATTTCACTTCAATTATCCAAGCTGTGGGATCCTGAATTCTTGGGGATCCCAGGCTGGGTTTCCCACCCTGTCACCCTCAAGGCCACTTTTTTCCTGCCCCTGTGCCTCTGGTTGCCATGGAAATAGTGAGGCCATGCTGTCTTCAGTGGAAGCAGGGAAACCATATTATCTTCAGCTGAAACAGAGGCGTGAGATGGTCAGGAAGGTAGTGGGACTCCCAGAAAGTCCAGGGGAGGGGAGTTTGATGTTCAACACAGAGACCTGTCTGCTCCACTCACTAAATTCCTATGTTCCACAGATGAACCAGGATGTTCTGGTGTGGGGCCCTCTCGTGCTGGGTGGTCCCTTGTGGCCAAGTTAAGCCCCAGCCTCACTCCTGAGAGGCTTTCCTGACCTCTCCCAGCAGGCCCTCTCTCATCATAGCATCAACAGAGACACCCCACCCAGCACCCAGCAGATCCCTGCTGTAGGACTTTGCTGCTCGCTGCAGGCTGCCTTCCTCCAGCGTCTGAGAGGTCTCACAAATGGACAGATTGTCATGACGATTCTGTGATGTGCTGTGTGTCTCAGGCCCTGGCCTCACCAACACTCTTTTGGACTTGGCTCAGAAAATATTCCAGTACAAACTCTATGCCACCAGCAGAGGATCCACAGTGAGCGGGCACACACAGGGGCTGGTCCCTATATCCCATCCTCCTGGCCACATTCACCCTATACTGGTTGTAATGAACCAGGAGATGGTGTATTGGATTTAGCCTGAGGAAATCTCAACATGGGGCTGGTAATGAGGATCGATGATGTAATGGAGTGAAGATGTCCCCATGCTGTGAAAGTGTCCCCAGGCCACTTGGATGAGCTGTAGAACCTGCCTCTTGCTCAGAAGCCATGACTTCCTGGATGTTATGGGCCACAGTGAATGGCTCAGAGGGGGTTTCTCTCATACTTTCTTCGTCATCAGAAACTCTGTCACTTTATCCTCATCCTGGGAGACCCCAGGCATGTTCCCACTGTGACTTTTCTGCCTTAATACAGCTTCCCCACAGAGGTCCCAAACTGTTGAGCATGGGTCAGTTTGGGAAGAATGAAGGACGGCTGTAAGACACAGAAAGCCCCATAGACCTGTCAAATGGTCTGTCAATGCAATGTCTGAAGAGAGAAGGCCTATCTTAGATGGCCTTGGGATATATGGCTCCTGTCTTCCCCATGGCTCTTCTCTATTGCTTTCCCTTGTCCATAGAAGAGGAAGCTGAGGCTGGGGAGTTGATGACTGGCCCAAAGGTGTGAAGACTGAAAAGCCTCAGACCAACCCTCTCCCGCTTGGGGCTTCTTGCTGCACAGCCAAATATCAAAGCTCAAGCTCACCAACATCTTTGATCTGTCTCCTCCTTGCGCCTCCTTCCCAAAGCTTCCATTGAGTGTCTGCTCTGAGATAATGTTGGCATGGACAGGCCAACCAACACACACAAGTCAGACGCAGGCTCACCCTGGGCTGGGCTGCTCAAGCCTCGGGAGAGAGGCCAAGAATGAATGGGGCAAATCTTGGTCTGGGAAAGGGGAAGAGCAGCAGAGGCAGAGAGGCTGGAGCTCCCACCCACAGATCTGCCCTGCACAGGGTGTGAATCTCAAGTGAAAAGTTCAGGTTCCATACACCAGAGGCGATGCTGTTTCCAGCCCCCTGGGCTCCTCCCCCTGGGCTCCTCCAGCCGGTTACTCCTTCCCACTCCTGCAGCTTCTCACTGCTTGGGACTTTCCCCAGGGGGCCTAGGATGTGGGAGGTCCTTCTGTACATGTGTTGCTTTTATTGGTTAATGAATAAAGTTTCAGCCAATGGCTTAGCAGAATACAGCCAAGTAGGAAAAACGAACAGAGATAAAGAGAGAGAGTGGGCGGAGTCAAGGAGACACCATGTCAGACACCATGTCTGTCAAAGAAGACAGACATAGAAACTTTCTCAGTATAACAGAGAATAATAGAAATGGGTTAATTCAAGATATAAGAGCTAGCTCAAATACACATGAGATATTGGCCAAACACTGTAATAATTAATATAGTTTCTGTGTGATTATCTGGGTCAGGGCAGCCAGGAAATGACAGAGCAGTCTCTGTTTACAGGGCTAGGATACCCTCCCAGGGAACACTCGCCCTTTGATTCCCACCTCTGTTAAGCCTGGGTGCTCTTCCCCATGATGAATGTCCTGTTTCTCCTTCCTAATAAACAATCACCAAGTTCCACACAGTACAGCTAAGGTAATTGCTAAATACACTCACTCCTCCCTTCCTTCTCTTTCCCCTCCCCACCCTCATTAAAATTAGAATCTTTAGGTAAGTTGGACATCGGGTTTCTTGTGACATTCAGAGGAGACACACAGGAAACGGCCAGGATAGACCCTTGATAGAGGCTTGGCAAGAGCTAGTGTTGGGGACACTGACCCACACATGTGCTGCCATTGTTAGCTAGGTTAGTCATTAGGTGACTAGTCACAGGGCCAATTGTCCTTAGACTTGGAGTTCTCAGCCCCAGAATCAGGCAGGGTTTGCTCCGTATCTAGGCCTCATTGCTGCAGACCTTGGGATCAGGGTCCCGGAATGGCTAAAGCCATGTTTTTTTTCCTGTTCAGACAACCAGGCTAAGGAGGAAGTTTAAAGCCTCCAGGGAGCCCCAAGAGGTCACCAGGGTCTGACTCGGTGGCCCTCTTCTACAGCAGCAACCACACTGCCAGCTGTAGTTGGGAAAGACACTGGTTGGAACCTTCCAGAAAATCTTGCAGTAGGGACTATAGCTCAGGAGGCAGATGCTTGCCTAGCATATTAAGTTGTGGACTGGAACCCCAGAATTGCATGAACTGGGCCTGGGGGCACACATGTAATCCTGGCACTTGGTTAGGGGTAGGAGGATCAGAAGCTCAACATCATTATCCTCATTCCCATAGCAGCCTGGGCTTACATAAGGCCCTGCTTAGAAGCACAGAAGAGCTTCTTAAGGCATCAGTGCCTCCTCAACCTCACCCTATCACATGCATGCCCCCTGTACATGTGTTTGTATACAACTCACATACTACTACATAACCCACCAAACACACAACCCAGGTACACACACCATATACACATGGTGAAACATAAATGCACACATAATATGTACACATGCACCTGTAACAAACTATACAGGGTACCACATACCATACATGTACACCCAGCACACATTCATGTGTACTCACACATACATGCACATACTTAGAACATACACACATTGATGTGGGATTCCCCTCTATATGCTATGAATATGTTTTATTGCCAGTGGTTATTAAAGAAGTTGTTTTGCCAATGGCTTAATAGAGTAAAGCCAGGTGGGAAATCTGAACAGAAATATATGGAGAGAAGGTGGAATCAGAGAGATGCCATGTAGCTGTTAAAGGAGACAGATGCCCTGGGAACCTTACTGGTAAACCATGAGTCTCATGTTAAAATATAAAATAATAGAAATGGGTTAATTTAAGATGTAAGAGCTAGCTAGAAATACACTTAAGCTATTGGACATACAGTATTGCAATTTATATAGTTTCTGTGTGATTATCTCGGGTTTGGGTGACCAGGAAATGAACGAGCATTCTCCGCTTACACACATGCCCACAGCTCTAGTGTAGCCCTCTTGTGTACGACTTTGGCCTGTAAAGATCTATTTTGGGTTGGGGCCTAAACAGCCCTGGTTTGGATGGCAGCAGTCTGAGTATTCTGCTCTGCCTCTGGTCCACAGTGACTTTAGGCTTGTGGGAACTGGACCTGGGAGTGGGGTGAGCAGGAAACAGAGAGGCAGAGTGGTAGGGAGGGAAAGAAAATGAGCAGGAAGAGGAACTGAGCGATGGCTGAAGCTGAGAGGGGAGTGGAGGGGTCCATGTGGAGACAGAGAGGGCCAGCGAGGACCTGGCCGGGACAGCTCTTAGCTGTCCTAAGAGGACTCTAGGCTGATTCAGCCTGTCCCAGCTCTCAACCTTCTCAACTTGATGGAAAACAAATGCCCTGTTCTCCTCTCCAGCTGGCAGGGTGCAGGCTGGCAGGGTGCAGGGCACACTTAGCTGAGGCTGGCAAAGCAGCAGAGCCCAGACTGCTCTCAGTCAAGAGCACAGGCTGCCTTCCGGGCTTGGCTGCAGGGATGGACCCATTAACAGAGATGCTTCCCTGGGGGCCAAAGTGAGGAGGGGAAGGAACGACCTGCTTTCTGCATCTTTTTTCTTTGGCCTCTCTCTCTTTTACTGAGACAGAATCTAACACTGTGGCCTTGATCTCACAACAGTTCTGCATTAGCCTCCTTTAGCTGGGATTACAGGTGGACAGCACCATGCAGGGTTCACAAACCCTCTTCTTAGGTGTGCCTGTTTGTATATGTATTTCAATTAGCATACAAAGTAGCGAGGTCCTTTATGGCATTTTCATACCTCGTTAGCTTTGGTTGCTCCTTCTATGCACTCCCCCATCTCCTCACCCCTTCCTTCTTAGCACACTTAATTCACGTTCTTATCATATATATTCTGGTATCTTCCCATTCCCTCTCTTAAAGCCTCTGCTTTTCCTCTCTTGGGCCCCTTGCTAGTTTTCTGGCCTCTACGAAGTACTTATTCCCACATAAATAAATACACATAAATAAAAATTAGAAGTTTGGATCTGCATGAGAAAGAACATGAGCTATTTGTCTTTCTGTGCTTGAGTTACCTTACTTAATGCAATATTTTTTAGTTCCACCCATTTTGCCTGCAAATTTAATAAATTTCATTTTTCTTTATGGCTGAATGAAATTCCATTGTGCCTATGCATCCCATTTTCATTATCCACTCATCCATTTCCTGGCTATTGTGAACAGAGCAGCAGTGAACATGGATGTGCAAGCCTCTCTGTGGTAGGGCTGTGGGACCCTCTGGGCACCTGCCTGGGAGCAGCACAAACGGGTCCTCACGCACTGAGACCAGGTCCCCAGCTAGAGCCGCTGCACCCAGGAGCTGACTGATGTGGAAGGGACATTCCACTAGGGGGTACCCGCAGGTCTCTTTGTCTCTCCCAGTAAAGCTGGCCAGTGTTCTGCTCTGAGAACTAAAAGGACCTACAGCTCCCCTGCTGCTCATGTCACAGGCCATTGCACTTCCTCCGTGGGAGGTGGCACACACAGCTATGGTAGGAATGAGCCACACGGGGGTGTGTAAATCTGGGAGGAGCCCCTGGCCAGACGTCTTCCTCTAGCGTGCCTGCTGCCGCTGCCACTGTCTGTAGCAAAGACAGTTTCACTACTAGAAGGCAGAGCCTTTGATCTCTGCACACTTGACTGTGTCCATGCTCAGGGAATCCCCCTGGGGGTCTAAAACGAGTGGCCTGTCCTCCAGAGAGAGGCACTGACCAGTGTTTCCGGCCCCAGCTCCTGAGCCTGCTGTTTGCCCTGGGCCTCAGTCTATAGTGTTTTAAGTACCCTCCACAGGTCCCTACAAGGAAGTCCTTCAGCCCACCAGCCAAGATGGCCCTATCACTGAATTGCCTGCCATCTATGTATACACAAGGAGTATTTGCAGGTTTGAGGTACATATTCACCCCTAAGCAGGAGCCCTGCAGCAGGGCTGGGCTCAACATTGAAGTTCTCTTGGCCCCAGGCCCACAGAAGCTCCTGGGAGAGAAACCCACCCATCAAGGACAGTGAGTCCACCTCTCCAGAGCCCAGGAGAATCCAGAGAAAGACCATCTGCTGCTGCTTGGTCTAGAGAGCTTCAGCCTCCAGCAGAGCTAGGCGGTCCCTTGACAGTCAAAACTGCTGTGCTGAAAGGCTGAAAAACCAGATGGGGCACAGAGCAGGATGCACACTCACAACCAGGTGTGCCTCCTGCTTTGAACATCCTCAGTGGCCAGGTCACCTCTCACAGCTTGGGCATGAGGGAGGGGACAGCTACTCCAGGTTCCTGACCCATCTCTAGCAGCAAGGGCGCTGCAAGCGTACCCCCAAAGCAGGAGTAGAAGACTGTGATGTTTGACATGGATTGTTAACTTGACAGGATCTAGAGTTACCAAGGAGACAAGCCTCTGGCCATGCCTGGGAGGAAGTTGAGCACAGAGGGAAGGTGTGCCCTAGACTTGAGCATCACCTCTCCATGGGCTGAGATCTCAGGATGAATTAAAAGGAGAAAGTGAGCCGAGCACCAGCAGGCCTCTCTCTGCTTCCTGACTGCAGAGACAATGTGACCTAGCTGCCTCAGGCTTCTGCCACCGTGCCTTCTCCGCCTTGATAGATTGCACCTCTGAACTGAGCCAGAAGAAACCATTCCTTCCTGAAGTTGCTTTTGCCAGGCAATTTGTCATAGCCATGAGAAAAGTAACCAACATGAAGAGCTAACAAGCAGCTTCGGAGAGCTGCAGGGCACGTGATCTGTGCAACAGCCAGCGTGGCTTCGTTACTGAGGGTGCACAGATGGGGCTTTGGAGGAAGGAGACTATCACAGCCAACAGCAGTGGACTGGACCCGGAGAAGCCTGACTGTTTATAGACTCAAGAAGCCAAGGCCTCTCTAAGAACTGGGAGCAGAGGCCTCATGCAGACAGCAGGCTTAGGAGCTGGGACAGCAAAGCTCAGGGGCTGCCTTGCTCCTGGAGGTCAGTCCACTAAGCTCAGAACCAGAGCGACACAGCCAAGTGTGCAGTGGCCAAGGGCACTGGCTTGACTTCCTGAGGGGAAGAAGGGGAGTCAGGGCATCACTGGATCACTCTGTGTGTTGGGATGGCAAGGAGTTAGGCCTGGAGAGAGGAAGAAGACTGGCTTAAGAAGCAGCTAAGAATCTTCAGACACTAGCGTTCCACCAAACTGCAGTCCTTAAACTGCCCCATCCCTGCTGAGCCATGAATGAACCAGAACAGCCGTGATCCTCTCAACTGGTCACAAAGTGAAAATGCAAATTGATGATAGATACAGTTACCGACGCTTTCCTGGCACTTTCCTGGCCCACAGGTAAGAGGTATCTCTGCGAGAGTAGAGTTAGTTATCCCCCATCCTTAAGAGCCATCTTGGGTCAGGGGCTACACGGAACAGACTTACCAGACCCAAAGTTAAACAAACAGAAAGTGGTTAGTTAGTTTTCCCATGGTCTAGGGAAGTGGAGAGCAGTTTTCATGTCAAAAGCTCAGTTCTGGGCAGAACTCAGTTTTCACGCCCACCTCCCTGGACCACTATTTGAGGAACCAGGTTCTTCATTCTCTCACAGCACCGAAGTGTGTCCTTCTACTTCTGCCAAATTCAAAGCTCTCTCAACCTTTCTTCTGGTCTCTGTTTCATGTTTCTAGAAAGGGACTCTGGGACGGTGTCCTGGCCTTAGACCTCACCCAAGGGTGAGAGGCCACTCTCACGCTCCAGCAACAGCCTCAGCATCAACCTTCTGCAGCGCTATGGGTAAGTAGCTGGACATCTCAGGGCTTCCAGACGTCTGACCACAATCAGTGTGCTGGGGACTGAACCCAGAGTCTCGTGGGTAGATACTGGTTCTGTACCACTGAGTTACATCCCCAGATCCCAGGACCCACTGACAGTCACAGAGGTGGGGAGAACTTTCTAGTTTCTGAAACCCGGTTGGGGCTTGGGAGTCAGTAGCCTCTGTCCCTCCCACAGTAGCCACAGGTAGAGTGGGGGTAAGGGACGGGTCACTCACAAACAGCAGCAGACACCTGTTCTCTCGGACAGCACCACAGCAGCCCAGGAAGCCCAGAAGAAACAGCAGGCCTCCCATGGCCAGGACGATGTAGGCAGCCGTGGTCAGCAGGGGGTTGGTAGCCACAATCTCCCGGAAGCCAGTCGGATCCACGAGGACCCAGATGCCTACGCCCAGCAGGCAGGCTCCTCCCAGCTGTCCACAGGCAGGCATGGAGACAAGAGGGCAGACAGTGCAGTTAGATGTTTCTTCCACACCCTTCCCTCAGTGAGGCCTGGGTCTGAAGTGCTGAGGCCTGCAGTGCTGGGCAGGATCCCAGCATGCTGAGCCCAGATCTCCACAGTTCACAGTCTCTGTGGGACTCAAAGTGGCCTGTGGCTCCTTGGCCTTCTGTGTAGCTCATACCCTCTATTTCTGACCTGAGTGGCACCTCAGGCTGTGAAGAACTGTGCCACACAAGGTTTATTTGTGACTTTCACGTGCTTCTTAAATGTCACAGCTTCAAGTTTATGATGTTCCCACACTGTGGCCCCGGGGGAGGTCAATGACTTGCAAAAGGTCACCTCTCAAGTTCATGGCAGAATCAAGACTGCAGCTTAGATCTCCCTGACACAGAACAAACCTCCACGGACAAGCTGTGAGGGTGACACTCACAGTGAGGGTGGCTCACAATGGCCACATTAGTTGTTTAATTAACTCCCCCCTTTTCTTGGAGACAGGGTTTGTCTGTGTGTATGCAGCCTTCGTTGTCCTGGAACTCACTCTACAGGCCAGGCTGGCCTCGAACTCATAGAGACTCACCTGCCTCTGTTCTCAAGTGCTGGGATTAAAGGCATGTGCCACCACGGCCCAGCTGCACTCCCAAAGCCTCTCACTGATGTCTTTGCATGGCCCATCTCTCTCCATGCCTTGCTCGTCTTGGGAGAGAAGCCGCTTAAGCTGGAGCAGGGCTGCTGATTATTAGCTGTGTGTAAGTAAGTGGCCGACTCTTTCTGAGTCTCAGCACCCTCATGGTTAACCAGCAGCTTGAATTCCCACCTCCCACAGCAGCCCCATAAGCCGACACAGCAGACTCTAGTGGGCAGGGCATTCCATTTCTCTCGAGAATGGACAGCACTGGAAGTGGGGCTGCTGTGTGCGGAACTCATTTGCACTGATTCTGGGGTCTAGCAGGGCCCGATGTTCCTGGTGTCACAGGTAGGTAGCTGGGATCACTGCTGGCCCTGGCTGACTCAGCAGGTCTAGAAGCCATGGGCAGAGCAGGAAAGCTGGGTGAAGGCCATTGACAGGTGCATCAGGTGGGGTGGGTGGAGAGACTGGAGGAGGAAAGGGCAGGCTGGAAGAGAGGTCAGCACTGATTGTTGCACCCTAACTTTTGCCTCAGTTTCCCCACAAATCCTCCAGTAAGGTCTGCTCCTCATCACTGTGTGTGGCTTTGGAGTTAAATAGTCATCTGATGAGAGTTAATTAGGAGGGTCCAGGAAAAACGGGAAAAATGGACTGGGGTCCCCAGCTAGGAGAATACCATTTGGTCTGTAGGCTGCCTAGCTCCAAAGTCCAGGAAGCAGGTTCCAAGGAAACACAAAAAGATGTGAAATTGGACAAGCAGAAGTGCAGACAGCCTGCTACAGGCACCAACTATGATGACTGAGCTAGTGGGCCGGGGCTGGTCAGGGAAGCCCATGGAGGCCCAAGAAGAGTGTGTGTGTGTGTGTGTGTGTGTGTGTGTGTGTGTGTGTGTGTGGTGTGTGGTGTGTTTCTGCTATTGGAAGAAGCCGAGTAGGGAATTTGGTGGGCTGCTAACATGGACAAGGTTTCCTGATGCCAGCACCTCTGCCCCTTCATAACCAGGCTATGGTCTGGAGGATATAGACAAATTTGTTCTGTACTAGCTACATTCTAGTCACCTTGTCTATCTTGATAAATTTTCAAAAAGCCTGTTTGGGTAAGTCATTAAGAGATGAAGACACAGACAGGCAGTGGTGGTGCATGCCTTTAATCCCAGCTCTCAGAAGGCAGAGGATCTCTGAGTTTAAACCCAGCCTGGTCCAGCACAGTCAGGGCTACACTGTCTTGATTTTTTTTTTTGTTTTTTTTTTTCTTTTGTTTTTCAAGACAGGGTTTCTCAGTAGCCATGGGGCCAACCCTAGAACTCCATCTGTAGACCAGGCTGGACTTGAACTCACAGAGACCGGCCTGCCTCTACCTCCTGAATGCTCAGATTAAAGACATGCACCATCACTGCTGGTTGAAACCCTGTCTTGAAAAAAAAATAGAACAATCAAACAAAGAGATGAACACGTTGAGGTTCTGAGTGATGAAGCGTGCTTCCAGTTCCAGAGCTACGGTGTCAAGACAGGTTCCCCTGAGAGGCTCCCACAAGGCTGGCCTGAACAGCTCTGAGGTCACTGCTTGATTGTGTGTATGTGTGTGTGTGTGGGGGGTGGTAAGCAGGCGCACATACATATGTGTGCATGTGTGTGCATGTGCAGGCCACCTGTCAATCCCAGGTACTGTTCCCCAGGAGCCGTCCACACTGCTTTTGACAGTATTAGCTTAGGCAAAGCCCCTGGCTTTTTATGTGGGTTCTAGGCCCTGAACGTGGGTTGTAAATGAGCCCTGTCCCTGGTCCCTCTAGCCTATCCTTGGCCAGAGGCTGTCCATTTCAGGGCCTGACTGAAATGTCTGCTGTGAAGGGAGTAGCAGTTGGGACTCAGGATTAGTGCCAGGCCTCCCAGGAAGCCTACTGGTCAGACCCATCTACCTCTGGGTAATCAACTTCCTGTGGACATTTTAGGGAGGAGGTTAGGCTTGTCACCAGCAGAGACCAGAGACCTAGGGGACGACTAGGGGACACCCAGTGGAGACCCAGGGTCACTTACAAATATGAAGAAATTGAAAACAAACATCAGATACTTCATGCAGCTCAGACAGTCACCTTCCATGGTGCTCCACCTAGAAAACACAAGGCCAAGCAATTCTTCAGCTGGAGACACTCAGACAGATTCCTCCAGCTGGAGCCCGGCCCAGCCTCGGCCAGGAGACCCAGTAACAGTTCCTCTCTCAAGGGCAAAGATTTGCTTCTTGTTGGGTCAGCACTGGGCAAGGACAGCTGGAGCTTCAATCTGGAGCCTTAGCTCTCATTCTCTAGTACCCTGTCTCTTGTCTGTCACCGTCCTCTGAAGTGCGTGCCACACACCACACTTCACACAGACACATTGCATACTCCATATACTTCACACACACACACACACACACACACACACACACACACACACACACACACACGGTGACAAGGAAGAGACTGTCCATGGAGTGTAAGGCCCTCTGTGGTAGTTCTCACTCCACTGAGCCCACAGGATATGAGGAGCAGTTGTAATGAAGACTGGAAGAACAGACCAAACCTACCGCCTTCAGGGGTGGCCAAATCACAGTCTCCATGGGGTTTTGCTTTAGTGTCTTGACCTCAAATGGCCCTGAAATGCTAGGCCCCTAGAGACTTGCAGAGACAGAGGATTTAAAAACTGAACCCGTGCAGGGTCTCCCCGCTCCATACCTATCTGATGGCTCCATCCATTCATCTCCTCTCTCTCTTGCACAGACAACCCCTGAACACTTGGGGCCTGCCTCAGCAACCCCGGATGGGGAAAGGGGACATTTAAAAGGATAGGGGTTTCCACAGCAGTTCTCTAACTGGGCCCCTGAGGCCAGGAAACCCTAGTTATTTTCAGTACTCTCCACCCTACCAACACTACCCCACCCCTGATCCCAGGACTCAGCCCTTCATCTCCAGCAGGCTTAGGGGCCAGTCTTGGATTGGGAGCAGACACATCCCCTTGAGAGGAAACCTGTTTACAGATTGCCCAGGGGAATGACGGCTGTTTGATAAAGGCAGGCTATTACGTAGATTAAGTCCTTCAATCCTGGCTGGGAAGCACGGAAACAGGGCCAGCGTCCAGGGCCAACCTGACCTGCTGTGAACCCGACTTCTTCACTGGGGGTGTAGGACAGGGGAAGTACAGTGGAGAGCAGGCTGGGAGCCACCTCCTCATGTCCTTCCACAAGACTACCTAGGGATACAGGAGCAGCAGCCTGGACCTGTTGCCCAGAGACCCCTATCCCAAGCCTCTGAGAGTCCTATGCTTACAGCTGCATGAAATGTAACTTACTGCTTCAAGTAGAATAAAAGCTCGGAGCTTTGAGAGGTACTTATGTCTGACACCAAGTGCTGACTTAGGATTGGCCTGGGATACCTTACGTCACTAACACATCACTGAAAGTTATCATTCTTCCCAAAGAGTTGAGAAGTATTAATGTGGCCAATGACATGTAGCCAGCCAGTGACGGACCCTGGCTGGGGCAGCCCAGCACCCTATGGGTACCACCTGCTGTAGGTGCTGTGTGGTTATTCAGGAGTACACATGGACCTCTGCAAGACATGTTTCTCCAAGAACCATGGCCAATGTGCTCACTGAGATGCTTCCAGTGACCAGGACGGACCAGCATAGTGGCGTCAGTTAGCTCAACTTCATCAATGAGTGAATGAATCGTGTTGGGAAAGAGAACTAAAAGACAAAATGGCAGTGTCAGAAGCTCAGAAACAGAGACCCATATGCAAGAGAGAAATGGAGGGGACAGGCGATAGAGAGCGATCAATGTGTGGGATATAAAAGGATACGCAGATTGGACAGAGTCAGAGTGGGGGGCAATGTCAGAGGGCAGAGTGTCACCGGGGCAGCTCTCCAGGGCCCAGCAGGAAGAAGAGCCTCCTAGTCAGAGTGTCTTAGGTGTGCCTCGCACCAGCCCAGCTTTCGCTAGAAGACAGAGCTTACTGTCACACGACATTGGGCACTGAGGTACAGTGAGTGCAGAGCTCCTGATGTGAACACAGGCAATGCCTTGCTAACTGGCCCACGGCACTAATGAAAAGCTGTCAGGATGTGGGGCTGTGCCAGCTGGGAAAGGCGGTACTGGGCATCTCCTGCCTACACAGCAGTCCCCATTACCCTGCTGGCTGCACGGGAGCCATGTCTTCATGTCGTTTCTGCCATGGTCTTTATCAGTGCAGCCCCGAGGTGACAGGCTTGGGTGACCACTCATCTGATGCCACCTGGGCATCTGTTACACCTCTGTCAAGGGCCATGCCACCAAGCCCTTCCCAGCAACCACAGGCTACCTCAGGGAGAAGTTTGATGTAGGGAGCCTTTTTTTTTTGGTTCTGCAAGAAGATTTGCTAGAAGTTTCCTCTAGAGAGTCAGCTCCCAGCAGTACAAAGGAAGTTGGGCTTACTCTGTGGAGGCTTGTGCTGGTCACATGTGTGGGAAGTTCTATAGCCCAGACCTGCTTTAGGCTGTGTAAGAGAACAGACCCAGGAGAAGGTCTACCTGCAGAGCTTGGGTTGAGGATCTTTCTCAGGGGAGATGAGAGGATTTTAAGGTCTCAAAACACTTGCTCTCATCTTGGGGACAATGAAGCGTATGCTGAGTGACAGATTCTCCTTCCTACTGTCCCTTCTTTTACTAATCTGCTGATTAACTGATTCATCTGTCTATCCATCTGTCCATCCATCAACCTACCTACCCAACCCATCCACCCACCCCTCCATGCACCCACCCACCCACCCACCCATCCTTTCATCCATCCATCCATCCACCTAACTACCCACCTCATTCATCTACTCACCCACCCACCCACCCAACTACCCACCCATCTATCTATCCACCTACCAATTCACTCATACTTTCATCTACTTAGCCATTCAGGTATCTATTTACCCATCCATTTGTCCATCCAATCATCCACCTACCCATCTATCTATCCACCCACTCATCTACTCAACTTCAGTTCATTTATATACTCCATCTGTCTGTCCGTCCATCCATCCATCCATCCATCCATCATCCATCCATCCATCCCTTTGTTTGCCATACTACCTGGTCTATCTGGTGAGGATTCCCCCAAAATTGGCCCTGGCAGGAGGGAAGGGTCTATGTATTATTCCTTGGCAGGACTCAGTAAAAAAGGGAAAGAACTCTTGGAAGGGTAGAGGACAGGGCATCCAGGTCTGACAAGACCAAGATCTTCATACAGGGATAGTTCACTGGACAAGATGAAGTCACCTGATTTGTCACAGTTCTAGGGTCATTCAAGAGGTGTGGTTCTGCAGCGAGTCCATGCTTAGTCATCGAACTTGGGGGAGCAGGGCTGGGTCATGGTTTCCCAAAGCCCTCTTCTTCCCCCTCCCTGGTTCCAGCCCTGGTCCAGCACCATCACACTCGTCTATCATCCCAGGCCCTGGTCTTAATTCTTTCATGCATCATTTTCCTGAATACAGCTGCTGGGCAGAGGGAATATAGGTTGCACGGGAACCCACCCCGTGTCTAGGGACTGGGTGGTCAGCACTTATCTCCTCACTGAGGAGCACGCTGTCATCTGGCACACAGGGCTTCCAATCGTTGAGGCTGAAACCCTCTGCTGCCTCACTCCCTTTCCTCTCTGTCCTTCTGGAGAGCCTGTCCCACAGTTCGGCTCCCGTCTGCCTGGAAATATGGCTTTATTTAGTTCATCACTGCTGCATCAGAGCCTGGGACAGCCCCACCTTGTCAAGTCACTTGAGACCTGGAATAGTCACTCTGAGACCTGCAATGATCCGCTTTGAAACCAAAGGTGGCTGAAAGAATCAACAGTGCCAGAGTAGAGGGAAGACTTTGGAGGCGGAGGAACTGTGGTTCTTAGGGTTAGCACACATCGGGAGTAAACGGATGTCTGACCGTGTGGGGAGGATCGTGGATTCAGTACATGGTTGGTATGGGTACAAATGGCTTTGCCCTAAGTAGCCCCATATTCAAATTAATTGCTTCAATACTGTGTCAATTAATAGTAACTATAAGATAATGCATTTACCAAGCACCTGGCTCTGCTCAGCCTTCTCCTGTGTTCTCTTATTAAACATTTACCTAGGTTGTGGGTCCCAGTATCCACTCTTACAGGTGAGGAAACGGAGGCTCAGAGATGATATCCACGTTGCCTGAGTTCGCCGACCTGCTTTGTGAGGTTATGTCTGATCCAGACACAGGCCATTGAAATGAAAACCAGAGTTCCTGGCAAAATAGTGTCCATGGGACAAGGAGGCAGATACAGCCCTGAGAGAGGAGGAGCCATGCCTTCGACCCAACATCCCTGGCCTGAGCTGCGCAGCCAAGCACAAAGCCTGGGAAAGATGTACAGCTCCTCCCCTGAGCCAGCTGGAAGCTGTAGAAGGACCCAGCCCTGCCATCCCCTGACAGATGGGAGCCCCTAGGCCCAGGGAGGGTAGAGATGGGGCTGAGGTTATGCAGTGCCCTGGGGCTTTCCTCAGCAGGCTCCCGCCTGGGCCAGACAGCTTTATTAATCTTGCCCCCTCATGGCCCCAGATGGCAGCTTGGCTCGTCTGCCGGGATACGGGGCTGGGAGGGGTGCTCTGAGTAAGAATAACTAAGTTCCTAAATCACCCCCTTTGCCTTTACTGCTCTCAGAGCAAGATGCAGAGACCCCATCTGGAGAAGCACACCCAGGCCATTTATCCTGCATACTCCTTTGCCAGCAGACGGCGCTGTCGTGCAGGGCGGAGCCATTGCTGGGTCCCAGTGGAACCAGTGTTTGGATTCTATTCCAACAAGCTGGGAATGGTGGCGGGGGTTCTCTCCTATCTCCTCTCCTCTGGAGGAGCCTGCACCCCTCACCTGGAGCATGAAGACACTCAGCTCCAACTCCCTATCCCCTGCCCATGGTCACTGGCAAGATGGAAGAGACCAATGAGCTGATTTAAACACCCAGCACATTCGTTTCCCTTCTCCTCTTCTTCCAGTACCCACTATAGCCAACCGTGCCTGGGCTTGGTCCAGAGGAGGCCAGTGACTGTGTGCTCCCTCGCTGCCACCACTGTCATTCAAGCCTAGTGAAGATCAATTACCAGT